AGCCTTAAGAAAGTCCAAAACATTCTTAAAGATCCATCTCATCCTGTGCACTTTATTTTTTTTGAACTATTACCATCTGGCAGACGGTACAGGAGAATAAAAACAATGGCAAATAGGCTGAAAAACAGCTTCTAACCCTGGGCAATAACTATATTGAATTCTTCAGAGTAGTGCAATATCGGGTTTTCAGTTTCCATTACAGAGGATGTGAAGGATGTATGTTTGTGTTTTTATTTTTATAACTGTAATGTACACTGAGGATGGCGTTTAATTTCATTGTACCATGTGCAGTGACAATAAAGTAAACTTAAGTTTTTACCAGTCCCATTTATTATTATTATTATTATCATTATTGAGGTCCCAAATTAGTCCCAATGTCATTTCCTTCTCTTCCAGAAAAATAGCTTGGAACGTGCAACGGCGTATCTTGCCACATCCCTGAGCGGTCAGTCCCTGGGGCCCTACCCCATGGCCATCAGCAGCTACGGCCTCGCATTAGCTTCTCAGGACAAATCCGCCATTGCTCTCGCTGGCAGCCGCCTGATGCAACTTTCCTTGGAAGACACAAGTATTTTACCTCTTTCTCCAACTTCGTGACACACTGTTAGAAATACCTGTTCTGGGAGTGTGTGTGTGTGTGTGTGTGTGTGTGTGTGTGTGTACACAACTTACAATCACAATTGAGCCCAACATTTCTATTGCTAGACAAGACCTCTGTTCAGTGAGTTTTGCCCCATTTTACGGCCTTTCTTGCCACATTTGTTAAGTGAATCATTGCCGTTGCTAAGTTAGTAACACGGTTGTTAAGTGACGGTGGTTAAGTGTGTTACTGACGTAACAGCTGTAGCAAGAAAGATCATAAAATGGGGCACAACTCACTTAACAAATGTCTCATTTCTTAGCGACATAAATTTGGGGCTCACTTGTGGTTGGAAGCTGAGGCCTACCTGTCATTTGAGCCTGGTTAGTGGTTACAGTATTTGTGTTTCGTGGGAGAGCATAAATGTGAGTTTGATTTGTTCTATGAATCATTGAGTTGTTTAATAGCTGGATGGGATGGGATGGATGGAGGGATGGATGGGATGAAGGGAGGGATGGAGGGAGGGAAGAAGTAAAGGGGTGGGATAGGAGGGAGGGATGGGATGGGATGGAGGGAGGGATGGAGGGAAAGAGGAAAGAAAGGATGGGATGGGATGGGATCACTGGTGGGTTCCAGCTGATACAGCCCGATACTGCTGTACCAGTAGTAGCTGGGAGCAGCTGACAGTGTAGTGGTACGGTGGCCAGTTTGGCCCACCTGCCCGCCCGGGTTCTATACCTGTTTGTATAGCAACCGGCTAATTGCGCATGTGTGCACCTGCGCAACTTTCGACAAGCAGCTGGGTGTCTCAGGGGCAGTGGAGTGCACATGCATGAACAGGATGCCCGGCCCCATGAGCAGCGTACCAGTAGCAATGGGGAGAGGAGCTCACCACTGGATGGAATGGGATGGATGAATGGATGGGTGGATTGATGGATGGAGAATGGAATGGAATGAAGTGAGTAAGTGAGTGAGTGAGTCAGTCAGTCAGTCAATCAATCAATCAAAAACACACATTTAAGCATCACTTCTGCTTTGGCCTTAAACTCTGTTCTCTCTTTCTTGCCCTCCAGACAGCACTATGATATTCTGGTTAGCCGGTGAGGACCAGCGTACAAAGGTGCCTTCAGCTATCTCAGTGGAGGCCACAAGCTATGCCCTTCTCTACTTATTGAAGCAAAATAATGCTGCAGTAGCTGCCAAGGTGTCTCGGTGGCTGACCGAGCAGAGGAACTACGGAGGAGGATTCAGATCAACACAGGTACTGGCTGAACCTAGGAGGAATTTCCTGACAATTAGAACTAGAATTAACCAGTGGAACAACTTGCCTCCAGAAGTTGTGGGTGCTCCAACATTGGAAGTTTTTAAGAATAGGTTGGACAACCATTTGTCTGAAGTGGTGTAGGGTTTCCTGCCTGAGCAGGGGGTTGGACTAGAAGACTTCCAAGGTCCCTTCCAACTCTGTTGTTCTGTAATCCTTATCAGAAAAGGACTGAAAGCATGGTTGAATACAGAGTGGGAATGAGAGTTGGCATTTTTTGTAAGAGGAAATTAAGGTCTGGAGGGGGTAAGAAGGATGGTTGTATGTGAGGCAAAAAGATTCTGGCTAAGGCAGGGGTCTCCCACTTTGGCCACTTTAAGCCTGGTGGACTTCAGCTTCCAGAATTCCCCAGCCAGCTTTGCTTAAAGTAGCCAAGGTTGTAGACCCCTGGCCTAAGGAATGGTCAAATAAGAGACAGCTGAGCCCACAACTACATAGTGGGCGAAGTAACTACCAGTAGGCTCAGAAGGGACTTTCCTCAGGTTCGTGGGCTGTAAAGAAGATGGTGGGAGAGTTGTACTTTCAGATTGCAAGATTAGGTTAATGTAGTGATGAAAGAAATGTCCTTCTGGGTTCGGCTCCAAGTGGGGAAAAAGACACTGGAGACATGGAGGCTGCTTGGAAAGATGGTTTATTGTTGGACAGGGCCACATGGCTTGAGCCCTGAACAGAAAAGGTGATCACATGCTTCAATGTTGGTGAAGAAAAAGAGAAGGGCTGAAGGAGGGGCTTGCTAGGCTTTTTATAACCTGTTTAGTCCCACCTCTCTGTTCCTGTTCCTGTGTAAGAAATGTATTCTGATTGGTTGTCAGACTCCCATAGGGCCATGCAGGGGTAACTCTCTGGGCTGTGTTTTGAATCCAGGTTTAGTTGAGTTCTCAGATGCCATGTGGTCAGTTGAGTAAAGGGGCAATATTATCATGCCTTTACTCCCATCCCCTCCTGGGGCTGCAGTGGAGAAGTCTTTATTATGTAAAAGGGACTAGCTTGGCCTTCTTAATGGCCCATTAACAGTGGGGATGGGCAGGAAGATGCAGGCAACTATTCTGTCTTTTAAAACATGTTTCTTTCTTTTCATATCCAGAGAAATATTCTGCCTTTTCAATATTTCCTAGGATATTTCATTTTTCTGGGAGAGGGCTGGGTGATAACTTCCCACAGTAGCCTTGCCATGAAGTAGAATTAGCTCATCTGGTTGCATTTCCTGTCTAGCCCCCTGGTATGGCTGACAATGGTTGGTTAAGATGACTGGGACTGTTCCTGAGAAGAAGGATTGAACTTTAAAATGCCCCCCACCCCTTCCCTGTCGCGGTACAGGAGGCTGAGTAGGCCACGCCCACCCAGCAACCAGGCAGAGAACCGGTTGCTAAAATTTTGAATCCCACCCTTGATTGTAAGTCACTTTTTCTGTGCTGTTATAACTTTGAACAGTCACTTAATGGATGGTTGTACATTGAGGACTATCTGTGCAAGAACATTACGAGAGAAAATGTTTACAAAATACAGCGAAAACAGCACCTAAAAGAGAAATGAATTCTGAGTGTTTAAACGAGCTGTGGATTTTGGTGGGTCAACAAATCTTCAGAAATTTGCAGAAGGATTCAGTGCGATGAGCGTGAGCCTCACAAAATACGGGTGACCTAGAAAGTGAATGATAGCCGCTATGTGTTTTTTTTAATGTGGGTTTTCCAAAATCGTGTCAGGGTTCTGATTTCTATGGTGGCTTCTCTTCCCAGGACACAGTGGTGGCTTTGGAAGCCCTTTCCTCCTACTGGATCAGCACTTTCAAAGAGGAAGGGAATGAGCTCACCGTCTCTCTTACGGTCCCGGGAAGACACTTGCCTACTCAGATTTCCTTTGGAAGATCCAACGACCCGATCCAGGAAGAGCTTCAGGTACCCACGCTGACTTGGGTGTACGTGATGAGGAATGGAATAATATGGAGATGGGTATAAACCCATCCAGACCTTTCTACCTTCCAAGGTCCCTTCCAACTCTTATTCTGTGGCCAACTTCCAAAAACACTGATTTAAATGATATTGAGAGCAACGTTCCAATGGCAGATCTCGCAATTGGTTGTGTGTAAAAAAAGGGGAACAAGTCTGGCAATTAAGTTTCAAACTGTCTTTTGAGTTTATGTGTTTGCAAGGAAAATTATACTGTATATACAGTAGAATTTTGACAATGCTATTTTTGGTGTTATTCTACAGTGTAATTCTGTGGGGTTTTTTTCTTTCAGTTTTCTTTGGGAAAAGACATTGACGTAAAAGTGGAAGGGAAAGGGAAAGGAACTCTGACTGTAAGTAATTTCATACTACTATTATGACAAATATTGAATGACAACTGCTACGATTTTTACTATGATTAGAGACGGATACACAAGTAATCCTAGACTTACAACCACAATTGAGCCCAACATTTCTGTTGTTAAGAGAGATTTGCCCCATTTTAGGACCTTTCTTGCCACTGTTGTTAAATGAATCACTCCAGTTGATAAATTATTAGCACGGCTGTTAAGTGAATCTGGCTTCCTCAGTGACGATGCTTGTGAGATGGTCACAAAAGGAGATCACATGACCTTGGGGCACAGCAACGGTCATAAACATGAACCAGTTGCCAAGCATCTGAGTTTTAATCATGTGACCATGGGGGATGCTGCAATGGTCATAAGTGTGAAAAAGAGTCATAGGTCACATTTTTCAATGCTGTAGTAACTTTGAATGGTCACTAAAGGAACTGTTATAACTTGAGGACTACCTGTAGTGGGCTTTTTCTCTTAGCCTCACAAAATAGGAAGAGGTAGTCACGGACTTAAAACCATTCATTAAATTTGCAGATGACACCAAGCTGGCAGGAATAGCCAACACTCCAGAAGATAGGATTAAGATACAGAAAGATCTTGACAACCTTGAACATTGGGTACTATCTAATAAAATGAAATTCAATGGTGAAAAAAGTAAGGTTCTACATTTAGGCAAGAAAAACAAAATGCACAGGTACAGTATAGGTGGTACCTTGCTCAATAGTAGTAACTGTAGAGGGATCTTGGAATCCTAGTGGACAACAATTTAAATATCAGCTAGCAGTGTGCAGCAACTGCCAAAAAAGCCAACACAGTTCTAGGCTGCATAAACAGAGGGATAG